AGTGAGTCTTTCTATCTTCTTTAATCTTAATGTCTTATATGGCTTTTTAAGTTGTATTTTCTTTAATCTTATTATGTTTCTTTTTTTTGTCATTTGAGTGTTCATTATTGCAACTCCAACAATAATCTTTTGTTTATACCTGCTTTAAGATACTTTTATTTGATTTCTTTAGTTTTTCCTATTTTTATACGATAAATCAAATATATTGATATCAATATAAGTTTGGTGCTTTGACTCTAACATTTTTCTCTGTTTTATGATCCGATATGGTTGGAATTTCTATAGGATGGTTGAGATGGATTCAAGAATAATTTTAAGCCTCTTGGCTATGAAGGAAGCATGGTTGGCTGAAGGTCAACAATGAAAATTGTTTGCTATAACCAAAGTTTAGGGCATTTGTGTTCACATCACGGTCTTAGCGTTTGGCTTGAGGCTGCTTTCCTTTCATGTGTTAGTGGTTTTTAATATCCATAGGCTATTGACCAAAGGTTAGAAAATTATGATAACTGAACATAATGATTGCATTGTATAATGCTCAAGACTTGTGATAAGGCTGGTGAACACGTATGTAAATGTGCGATAATGTTCATATTTTCAAGGTTCGTGTGCACAATGAGTGCATAAGAGTTGAAAAAATGTAGCGAGAAGTTACCACTTTGGTAATGACCACTCTTACTCCTGTATCAATTTATGCACTATCTTAGATGACAAAATTACAGATAGTAACTGCTTTAAAAATTTAGATTAAGAACTGCTTCTTTCTTTTATTTCCGTGAAGTAATAACCACTCTTACTCTTACTTCCGTATCAGTTTATGCAGTAAACATGTAATAACCCTTATGCTTTCTATGCATAATGTTACTATGTCTATGTTCTAATTGTTATTAGGATGGCTGATGAAATGAATAATTTCATGCTTGGGGCAGAGAGACTGAAGGAAGAAAATTCTAGGTAAGGTTAAGTAGCTGAATTTTGTTTTTTTCTCTGCATGCTGTTTCTCTAATTTATTATTTTGCCACTAAAATTTTCTCTGCTTTGTTAAGTTGCATGTTAGAGGAGAATGAAGTTGACTGCAGACTGATGGATTCAGAGTTAAGGGACCTCAAAGAAGAAATTACCAGGCTCGCTAGTTTGGTTAGCCAAATTGAAATGCCTAAATCACACCTTAGTGAATCAAATAAGTCTCATGTGAGTGCATTTATTGGTAACATTAGGCTTATTACTTTCTTAAGTTGAGATGCATATATCAGGCTTGTTCCCAATCATTCTGGATCTGCATTTAATTTTATAGATGTGTGATATGAATTGGCCTTTGTTTTGAGTAAAATCATCTCAATTGCGAATTAAAATCACTATTAAGAATCTTTGGAATAAATGTAGATAATTTTGTGGATTGCAAATAGAGATTTAGTTTAAGTAATAGAGGAAGTAAATTCATTAAGTGATGGTTGAGAATTAATCTCATTTGAAATTTTACTTGGAGTTGGAAAAATGCATTATAAGTTTTATCAATTTGGCGAAATTTAATATTTATTGTTCCAATTCCACATAAAATTCTCCACTAATTCAATTTCTGTTGTTTTAGTGTTTCCATCATCTCCTAATTGAACGAAGTGTATATTTGCAAATGGATTCCACAAAAAATTTTAAAATTGTTCAAAACTTAATCTTAATCAATGACTAGAAAATTTAATGTTCCTAATTTACCACCCAATTTTTCACTGCTTTACCTGATGACCAGGTAGGTCCAATTGGATCGTCTGGTTCTCTTGGGAGCAGCATTCACTCACTGGACATGGGTTCATCTCCATCAGAACATTCTGAGGGAAACATGGCATCTGTGGAGAAAAGTAAAACAAATGCCTGCTGCTCCTGTAGTAGGAAATCTTTGTGCAAAACGCTTAAATGTGAATGCCGGGCAGCTAGCAGCAGCTGTGGGATGTCTTGTGGTTGTGCAATTTCTAAATGCACTAACAGAGAAGTTTCAGCCAAGTCAGACGATTCATTGAAGTTAGGGGTCACTAAGGCAACTGCCACTCGCTTAAGCATTGCTGCGAAAGAGAATAGCAAGGACTTTGCTTCGCAACCTGCAGAAATTGAGAAACTTCCTGATATAAATGACAATGGTGGGACAAGGAAACAACCATTACATGACATCAGCAATGCACTGGTATCCTCATCCTCCCCAAGTCGGTCAATTTTTAAATTAAAAAAGAATGGTTTAAGTCATGTTTGGAATAAATGAATTTTGTTTGTGGAATCAATTTGAAATTTGTTATTATTTTAATTAGGCAGATGGTGAAATTTTTTTTTTAAAAATGATAAAAATTGAATTTACAGAGAAGCAATTTCAAGTAGAATTTAGACAATACATTTCAAATTCTATGGACATTAGTTGAATTTCAAATGTATGTCCAAATTCTACTTGCAATTGGAATCTTTTACTAGAAACTTTTTTATGATTTTGTAAAAGATTTTCACACTCATAATTAAAATTAAGTGTTGAACTTCTAAATGTTGTTTACAAACAAATTTCATTTGTTCCACGCATGGTCTAAAGATGGTCTTTTAGCATGTTAGACCTACTAAAATAGCTTTAGTTCAATTGCCATTATGGTCTTGTTGGCTAACTCTTGCTTTCATTCCATGAAGAACTCTTTATTTGCTTGCTAATAAAAAATGTAATCCACAGATCAAATCAATTGCAGTAAGAACAGGTCGGAGAAAGCAGAGAAACATGTAGTGCAAATTGTCAGATTTTGTTAGGTTGCTGTGTCAGCATTACTCTCAAGTAACAAAACTTTGAGAAAGAAGATTTTGATAATGTGATTGCTGTGAGAAAGTTGAACACTGAGCCTGGCAGTTAAGTCGTAAAAAAGGAAATCATGAATTGCTTTTTCTCTGAACTTTTGGAAGGACTGAGATCTCTATAAGCATTCGGCATCTGTCTTTGCGCTTTTTAGTTGGGATCTGCTGTTAAGATATCATTTGCGGTGAGATAAATGAATCTTCTGTACTTTGATCGCTATCTGTAATATCAGTGGCATCTGTCTTTGCGCTTTTTAGTTGGGATCTGCTGTTAAGATATCATTTGCGGTGAGATAAATGAATCTTCTGTACTTTGATCGCTATCTGTAATATCAGTGGCTGTCAAAATCTATTTTACTGATGTAAGCTGCATTCAGTTTGCAGCGAAGATGAGTTGTAGTTTTTAGAACTAAACTGCGTGTGGCATGTAAATGCTAATCAAGATAGATCCATATTTTGCAGTACAGTCTTTTAATCAGTAGTTTTACCAGCTTGTGGTCTAATTTTGATTCGATCATCGTTTCATTTTGAAGGTATAATTATTAGACAAATCTTAAATGAGTATAATCACATGTGAACTCTCTCCATGTTTTCCTGCAAGTAGAAATTTGTATATTTCATTAATTAGATGGTATATATACACTAATTATAATAACACATTAAAATGCATGTCAGTTTAAACTCATAATTTCTTAAAACTTAATGTCTATGATCTTAGAAAGTTATGAACTTTTGATTTCCAAGACTAGGTGGTATAATAGAGATGGCATGAATGTGGCTTGGCTGGACTACACTCTACCTAACATGAACAACGGATTGGGAAAATTTTATTCATGTGGCCCGGCAGGTCGGATCTGAGCCTGGTTCTTCATGGACTGGGTCGCCGGATCAGGCTGAGCAGCAGCCTTAAGAAAGATGATGTAATGCGGCCTGGTTCCCCTGTTACATTGCACGGCCTGGGCCAACCACCCTTGAATTCTTAACCTATGCTTCTAACCGAGAGACAAAAGAAGATTCTCCTTTCCGGACCACATTGAAAATCATTCTGATTCTAAAGAAAATCATTCTCAACAACATTTCTAATGGAAAATCATCAAATAACAGACAGTATTTTTACAAAATTTCCAGTAATTCAAATTTTACTTCCTCCAATAATCACCTAAACAATATTCTACTTGTGGATCATCCAAACCTAAATAATCGACACTACTCCTTTCCAGTGCCTCATGGCCACTGCATCGTCACTCCATTAACCAGGATGTGGAGAAATGAATATCAGAATAAGGACTCTAAAAATCAGCCTCTGGAAAAGTGACAAGGAGATCTAACTTCTCAGCAAGGTTAACTTTTATTTATTTCTAACTTGGTAACCCAGTAATTAAGTTGGCCGCAACACACGTTGATCCGGTGGAACCATATGAGGAGAACTTCTTGATTGCATTCTCAACCCCAATAAATTCATATACATCCTCATTTATTTATTTCTAACTTGGTAACCCAGTAATTAAGTTGGTCTGCAACACACGTTGATCCGGTGGAACCATATGAGGAGAACTTCTTGATTGCATTCTCAACCCCAATAAATTCATATACATCCTCGTCGAACACTGGACTTAGAGTTCTCATTTCGTCAAGAGTCAGGTCCTGAAGTTGACAGCTTTTTGACACGCAGAGAGCCACTGATCTTCCAACTATGTCATGAGAAGTTCTAAAAGGCATTCCCTGTGGAAGAAAAACAAAAGCAATTTTATGAAATAAAGAGAAACATAAAAAAGACTAAAAAATTGAAATGAAATTAAGAACCATCTTTCATGGAAAGAAAACAAAAGAGACTGTTTGCTCGACTAAAGGAAATCTAGTTTAAGCTACTTTCTTTTCATGTTATGTAAGAATGTTCACAGAATTGTTGAACTTGATTTAAACTTCAATGCTATGGAATAGGTGATTTTATAATTACTCAATTGCCAGATGATAATAAAATATATTGAAGTTGAAAATATGAAGGGGGCTGGTTCAGGACGCACCAAAGCCTAATCCACCATATCAAATAATTAATAGATAAGAACATAAGAGGAATATAGTAACTATGAATTAAACCAAATGCAAATATAACCATCTTTTCACTGGTGAAAACACAGGGTTGGTTGATAAGAAGACTTGCCTTCTTGACGAGATAATCAGCAAGAGTTGTGGCATCCAGATGGCCAGCTGGCAAAGCCTTTTGTATTCTTTCTCGATTGAAGGTAATGTTCTTTGCAAACTCTGCTGAAACTTCCAGCATTCCCACTATAGTCTTAACACTATCAAACATAGGTTCCTTATCTTCCTGTTGCAAACAATTCAGAACAGAAGGAAAAACTTCCCAAATTAAGTTCATATAGGTTGGAACGATGCAGGAGGAAAAAATTAACTGACTGTATCAATGCAAAAGCACCAAGGCTTAAGACCATAAGGGCTATGGATGAGTCAACCAGAATCACGATTGTATTCATCAAATGAATTTATATAACTAACAACCTGCAAATCGCGATTGTATGCAAGAGGAAGTCCTTTGCACAATGTAAGAAGAGTGACCAAATCTCCAATGACTCGAGCAGACTTTCCTCGAACAAGTTCCATTGGATCTGGATTTTTCTTCTGAGGCATTATACTACTACCTGTGGAGACAGAGTCACTTGGTGTGATAAATCCAAACTCTTCGGAAGCCCATAATACCCATTCTTCGCCAAGTCGAGAGAGATGAACAGCTATGATGGAATTAGCAGAAAGGAACTCCAAGACAAAGTCTCTGTCTGAAACTGCATCAATGCTATTTTATTGGATGAAACAAAAATATTAACCAATTGCTGAAGAGGGCATATAGAAAGATGTATGGTAAATGAACAAGCAAATAAGAGAAACGGATTGAACTGAAAAATGGATATGCAAATCCAAAAAGAAAATCCTACAAGGGTGATTAAATTGACTCAAGAAACTTGGAATGCGTGGTGAGAATGTTATTAATCTACTATTATTTTCCAAAAGCATTTCCCCATTGGACAGACATTAACCAAATCGAATCAACATTCCACAGGGATCAGAGAATTAGCTTACTAACTTTTTCCCCAAAAAAAAAAAAAATCTGTTGGGAAGAGAATGTGCTCCATGAATATTCAATAGCTAACATTATGCAGACTGCAAGAGAAGACCAGGACAGAATTAAGCACTGGCATTAAAGGCCAGGAAAAATGGAAGCTAAATAATCAGAAAAATAATCCCTCCCTTTAAAGAGCAAGAGATAATCAAGTGCTATGATACAGTTCACTAGTAAAGATGATTTCTATGGGCATTGATGGGTGTTTTTCCCCTCAAATGAAAACCGCACCTTTTGACATCCCCAAAATTAGAGCTTAAGGACTGTTTCAATAATCACCTGTTCCTCATTGGGGCAGTGAATCCCAGAGCTTTGGAAGTCCTAAACCTATCAATAGGCAGGCCAGTCCCAGCCAATGCACAAGCACCTAGAGGGCAGAAATTCAGCCTATCTCTGCAATCTAGCAACCGACCAGCATCACGTTCAAGCTACAATAAAAAAAGCCCTAGACAGTAAATACTTAGTCCCTGATTAGTTGTGAAAAACTATTTTGAACAAGAACATGACACAGTATGAGTTTAAGAAGAATATAGTGTAAACATATTATTTTGAAAAATTATAGTGAAATGTAGTACGAGTTTGAGAGCCATGAAAAGTTATCTTTTTATCTCATGTCATATCTTCAATATGTATATGTGATTTGTACCAACATATATGAATTTATTTTCTACAAGTAAACACGGTTATAGCTTCTCCTAAAAAAACCGTGCTAGCTTAACAAATGAATCAATTCAAACCTGCTCAACATATGCTAAGAGAAGATGCTGCAATAAAACAGGTTGAGCCCTTTGCAGATGTGTATAACCAGGGACAATAAGTCCATTGTTCTTCAAAGCCAATGTCACCAGTGCAACCTGAAGATGTTTAATACTGGTGAGGATCATAACAATTGCATCACGACACCATAGTCGAAAATCAGTCAACACTTGATCATTTCGACTCCTAGCTGTGTGAAGCTTCTTTGCAGGTTCACCAATCATATCAGTGAGAGCGGCTTCAATGTTCATGTGCACATCCTCACGGTCAGTCCTCCATATGAACTGACCAGCTTCAATGTTTCTCTCAATCTCATCAAGTCCTTGCAAAATACTATCTCTATCACTCTCACTGATCAGTCCCTACAGCAGAACAAGAAAATAAATCATTGAATTTCATTAAGTTTCTTCCTTTAGTTTTCCAAAATTAAGGGGAATTATCAAGCTTCGAGGATTGAATTTGGATAAATTAAAGCAATCTAACTATAATCCTGATTAATCCCAGAAATACAGTTGGGAATCAGCCCATTCTTATTTGGCATTTGAAGCTAAGGGCGAAGGGAATTGAATACTGTGAGAAAATATTAAGACTTTCAAATTTTCTTTCTATGATCTTCTTAGCTTCAACTTTCTCAGCCATCAAACATTTTCCTCAAATCCCAAAAACAGGGACCTCCAAGACTAGCACAACTAATTAGACGCTAAATCCCATCTCATTGCCCCTGAAATTCCATTTCCCCCTTTTTCCCATCAACCGAACAGCAATACGACATTGCCAAAACAAACCCAAATCCCAAAAGGAAAAAAAAAAATAAACCCAGAATAAAATCAAACTAACCTGTTCAGCGAGCATAGAGGCATGAGCTTTGCTCCCCAAGATATCATGCTTGTACAGCTGCTTATCAAATGAAATAGACTCCGTGAACTTCTCCACAATCTCCGTCACGCTCTCTTCGAATCTGCCACCCCACAGCTTCGTCTCCTTAGTCTTGGCGCCAGTCTCGCTCATGCTGCAAACAAGGTCGACCAACCTCGGCTTAGCTCTGGACATGAAAGAAAAAGCGGGTTTTTTCCTAACAGAGAAGAAAATAGAGGAGAATGAAGGAATCGATGAATTAAAAGAGGAGGCTGATGACTGCAACTGCATGACGAGAGACAGCTAACAATTTAAGTGAAGAAGAAGAAGAAGAAGAAGAAGAAGATTATTCCAAAAATAAGAAAGAAAGCTTCGCCTTTAAGGGTTTTTGCTTTGATATCGCTGTCTCACTTTTTGTTTCTAAGAGAGAGAGAGAGAGAGAGAGAGAGAGATTTAATTTTTTATTTAAATTTTTATAAACATCGTCCATTTTCCCTTTTGCCTTCTGTGGGTTTTGATGGAACCAGGAAGATGACTCAAAACGGCATGACATGTTGCCGTTTTAATCAGCAAAAGTCCTCGACAAGGGTATTGCAGTATACTTCTGGGCCCATTGACTGGGTATGTCGTTTCGTGATATTACGAGCAAGTATTTTGTCGTTTTTCTAAGTAGGTCGGGCTTCGGCCCATTTCAAGGGGGTGACTACTTTACGTTGCTAATTAATTACTAATATTAACTTATTTGTATATAAATTTGGCCCAGTAAATAGGACCGGCTGATAGAGGGCTGAGATTTAATGGGCTTCCCCTCTTTTCCATTTCATGAGATTATATTACTCATACCTACGTAAATGTTCTATTTAGTGCATATTTTTTTTTAAAAAAAAAATTAAATACTTTTATATATAAAAACACATAAGAAAATATATACGTAGTATTTAAGTATAAACAAAAAATAGTTTCATATAAAATATTAAATATATATTTTTAATTTTTAAATTTATATCATATTATTATTTTTATTTCTATAATGAATTATGGTTTCACTTTTTTCTATTTTAAGATAATTGCCTTTCAATTATAAGATTTTCTCGAGACAATTTAGTATTCAACGGTTTTATTTTATTTTTTTTAATTGTTTGTAAAATTATTAATTTTTTACTTTGCCCTTCTTTACTTTAAAGTATAAAATTTTAAAAAAATTAAAAAAAATCAGTTCAAATTTTTTTAGGTTTATAATTAAAAAAATTGGTTTATATAAAATGTAGTCTCGATTTTTTTAAAAAAATTATAATTAGCTATGTTGATTTTATGTTTTTACAATAAGAAAACTAATTAATTACTCATTAAAACGTGGCGTACACCAAACCCAGATTCGCTGTGCATGTGGTCAAAGTTATGACTTTATGGACTGAAAGTACGAAACTGCCCTGAGCCCTCCGTATTGAAAACAAGTTTATTTGTATTGAAATTTTTTCTTGCTTCCCAATTTTCTCTTTTGACTTTTACTCTACATCCATTAATATATGATTTGCCTTTTCCTGGCACATCCACACACACACATATATATATATATATATATATATTGTGCAAGTTTAAAATAATTACTTGATTTTATTATATTATATAAAAAAATAACTTTATATTAAAATTATATTTGTACATAATTAATTTCACATTTTATAACTTCCTTAAAAAAAAACCGTGTAAAATTTGGATCTAACACCCATTAAATTAAAGATAAAAACAACTTTGAAATTTTTTATTGTGTTTTTTCGCTAATTGTTATGTCAATTTCTTAGTTTTTAAATTAATGGGTTTGGGTATGAACGATTAAATTTGGTCTAAGTTATATTTTTATATAATCAACACTCAACATGATATGCTTTTCTTTTTTTTTTTTTGTTGATAGGAACCAACAATCGGCAATGGAATCAAAATTACAATAATTGAGACAATATATTATGGGGTTTGGTGTCTGGTGGGTCCTTTCATACAATATAATAAGGGATTATAAGTACACTTGGCAGTGTTAGTCCTTGTTGAAAAAATTATTAAAATTAAGTTTGATTTTATTATTTTATAAATATTATATATATAAATCTAATTTATTAAATGTATCAATATAAAAGGGGTGTAATTAAATTAGACATAGTGTCGATAAATTTATTATTTTTATTAAAAAAATAAACAGTTAAATTTTTGTAATCAAACTAATTATAATATATTAAAATATAATTAATTTTTCTATTCATATATAGGAAAAAAATAGATACCACAATTAAATGGGAAAATTAGTTTATAAGTACTCTTGGGTCATTGTCGGGCAAAATAATCAGCCATGTGCCTGCAATATTTGGCTGGTTGAAATGGAGTGTCCATCATCATTCTCATCCTAATCATTAATCAACCAAATAAGCTGTCCTAATCAACACTACATACATATATACATATACATATATATATGTATTGAAGGAGAGGCTACCAAACTACATGTATAAATATATGTGTGTGTATATGTGCATGTCTCTATCTTTTTTTTTGTGTGGATGAGGATGAACAAATTGTGACCAGCCACGAGATTTAAGGTATTCATATAAAATCTACCTAATGTAATTAAATAAATAATTTCTTATTTAAAAAATATAATGTTTTATTGTAAGTGGTGTGTGTGTGTGTGTATATTTTTATTATTTAATTAATAAATATACAAATTACTCAACATAAAAATTAAATCAACATGCTCATAATTCTTTTACGCATCTTTAATTTTTTTAGCTGAATTATAAATTATTAAGTAATTATTAATAATTTATATAAGCTGTTCTTAAATCAGTTTGGTGGTAAATAACATCAACTTAGATAGATAAATAACCTCGTTTATGACCTGCTTTAATTTCAATTAGAAACATATTTTAATTTTTTATTTGTCCAATTTGAGCTATATAAGTAATTGTCATCGGGTGTAGCTATATATATATATATATGTAATAAAATTATTTATTTGAAATTAATTTGGTTTATGGTTTCTAGCAGTACAATAATTAATTAATTAGCACTAGTTCAATGCTGTCAATTGATTAATAATCTTTTGAATACTTATTGTAAAACAAAAATTAATTAAAATCAAATTAAATATTTCCTTTTAAAATAAGGTAAATATTTATTAGTTAAGCGGTGATGCTACTTTATTGGGTGAGCCTTGCCTGTCTCACTATACACGTACCAGATATTTGTACATTAAAATTAAAAAAAAAAAACAATCATAAACATCTGAAAATAATAATTTATTTTTAAATACAAATTGATGCGTTAGATAAAAATTGAAATTAAAATAAGAATATTTTACTGAATTTATTTTTTTAAAAAATATAAATTATATAATATTTATATTTAAATGATTAAAATTATATTTTAATTTTAAATTTATCTATTCAATTATAAAAATATTTTTAAATATAAAAATAAAAATCAATGTTCGGTAATATCCGGGGGGTTGCCGTAAGAATTGTTTTTTTTTTTTTTATTAAAAAAAAAAGACACTAGAAGAAACCTTGTTCTATTTCTCTTCTCCTGTTGTGGGTTGTGGAGGGGTTACTGGAACCACTCCCGCACGTAACAACAAATTCCTATCTTCACGCCACGTCACCACCCCTCTTTCTCCCTCTCCAACCATATCTGACCTGGCACTCACCTCTTATCTGACCTGGCACTCACATGGCCACGATCCCATGTGCCCAATTCCATGTCTTTCACGTGCACCTCCAACACATATTTCTACATTATTTAATTTCATAAAAGATTAAATTAATTACTGAAAATTAATTTTGATTAGCTATTTCGATTTTTTTTTTAAATGATGTTTGAAATTATAGTTCAAAATGTAATTTATGGAAATAAATTTTACCTGATACGCAAAATTAGAGAGTAAAAAATTTTTACCATTAAATAAAAAAACCAGTCCGTTCTAAATTTACCCTTGTATTTTTAAACCATGCCCCTGCTGTTGCCTACGTGGAAGGAAATCAGGCGTACTTATCATGTTCCTGATTGCACGGGATCATAGCGTTTTTGTTTTTTACTAAGATTAAAACTCATCATTTTATGCTGCGTGTTAAATAATTGGCAGAGCTTAAACACTAAACTACCCGGCAATTTACTAGAAAGCTCTCTCTCTCTCTCTCTCTCTCTCTCTCTCTCTCTCTCTTTGATTCTTCAAAGCCAAGGGAGAGAAAAATTTGAAACTAAAATCTCCATTACAGTTTTGATTTTGCTGGAAACCTGGCAATACAGATTTTCTTTCTTAAGGTATATATAGAGAAAAGCTGTTCTTATTTCTTTCTTTCTCCTCTTTCTTTTCTGTTGGGTCTTGTTTGTGGATATAAATGGTTATAATAATGTGATTATTGTTAGTATAACTTTTATGGGTCTTTGAATCTTCTTCCGATATTCGAAGTTTAATCCACAAGGCAAAAAAAGTTTACTTATTTTTTGCTCTTTTCTTTTGAAAAATGAAAAATCCATATGGGTATTTAAGTTTTGCAGTTTTACCTTATCTTTATGTGAAGTTATATATATGTGTATTACATGCGTGTTTGTATATATATATATATATGTGTGTGTGTGGTGGTGGGTAATAATAGCTTAATGTAATGTTTGATTGACCGGGACAATGTAAATTACAAAAAGAAAATATGGATTTTTTTTGGTTAATTATATGGAGATTTCGTAGAAAGGAAAAAGTTTGGGTTTTCGAGGCCTGGATAAACCTGGTTTTACAAATTTCAGGTGGGTGTTTGTAAATTTTTCATGTTGCTTTTTAATTGATTATTACTAATTTTGTTTACTTTTTCGCGCTTTGGGAAAAAATCTTTATTTGGCTAGTTTCTATTTTTGGATTGTTTTAAATTTGTTTCAAATGTAGACAGACAGACTTGTATTCTCTGGTTTATTAGGAAATTCGTTGTATTTGACAGTGATAATTCTCAGACTTTTCGCTGGAAAGGGATATCTTGATACCCAATGACTCTTTGTTTGGCTGCCTAGAAAAATGATGGAAAAATATTTATGAGAAACCCTCTCTCTGGTTATCTTCATATCTATTATCACCCTTAGAGAGAGGAGAAAATGGGGGTTAACTTATATTGAATGATTGAATGCATTGAGCAATAGTTTCATGGAGATGGTTGTTGGCTATCAGATTCAACAAGAAGTCTCTATTGGCCATCAGATTCAACATGTCTCTTATTCAATATTTCATTTTCTTCTAGAACTCTAGCTTATTTTATTTTCCTGTTTGGATGCTAAGAAAATGAAGGTTTCTTTTGTTTTTGCCTTGTAAACTGTGATTATACATATTTTGTCTGTTTTTGTATTTGATCAATCTGTTTAAACTTATTCTTAATTCCTGCTACAGGCAGAAACTGCTGCTGGCATCAATTGCCCCACATTTGCTTCTAGGCGAAAATTACTTGCTTTTTTCACTGCAAGTAATACTTCTCTGCTTGGGATTTTTGATTGATTTACATGGCGGTGGCATTTTCCCATCTGTCATGGTGGTTGTGGAGTGGGAAGCATCTAGAGCCCAGAATCTCAAATGGGTCTTCTCTAACTTCTTCGTCGGATTCGGGTCTGTGGGAGGCAGATCATCTGAAATTCCCTCTGGTTAAAGGTGCTAAAATGGCATCCTCATCTAGGAGGGTCAAGCGCAAATGGCATAGTCGGGAAGAGAGAAAAATTGATAGGGAATACGACGTTGTTCTAGTGCCATCTGATGGTGGATGCGTTTCAGGGTCTGAATCTGATGGTTCAGATTATTCGATTGGATGGTTGGAGCCTCATGGGCCTGGATTCCAGAGTGATGATGATATGGATAACAGCTTCGCTGTGCTGGTTCGATGTTATGGGCAGAGTCAAGAGCATGTGATGGAAGATTCAAAGAATAATGTTTTGGGTGCTGTTGTGAAAATACCGGATAGTTACCCTCTCGGTATGTGCCATTGCTTCTCCCTAGTTTAATTGCTATTGCGTAAATACTTGTTCGCTTTAATTATTAGAATAATTCTATATTTTCATATCAATATGTAGAATGTTCGACTTGCAACTTGCCTCTACTCTTACTCCCAAGGATTCAAGGTGGGAGAAGAGGTGACTCGAACGTGAAGATCATGTTGTAGTTCTTAAGACTAATTTGAAAAAGAAAACTAGGAATTAATTAGGAATACAATGGGCATTGAACCAATACAAGATGTAAGAACCTCTTTCGGGAAAACATTGATGCTGCTTTTGGTTCTATTCCGATTAAATTCCTATTTATAATTCTCGTGTTAATCTTAAATGCATAATTTGTTGTGTTATATTATTCACTACGCATATTTTACGTTTGTTGAAGGGGAGAATTGAACTCACCTTGAAGAAAGATAAT